ATATTCAACAACTTCCAATCTCCTTCCAGAGGAACATGAGACCATGCATGTCCTTCAAGTCTGACCATTCAGCCAGTTCTATGAGGGCTCACACTGAAGGAGGAATCCAACTTCACAATGTTGACTCTCTCACTACCAGTGAAACCCAGAAACAAAGTAGGGTGAGGGTGAGGGTTAGGGGAAGGACAGCTCATATGTAAGCCTTGGAGAGGCAAAGAGAGGAATTGGTCGGCCTTATCTTGTGTCCAAAGGCAACAACAAGGTATATCATTTCATGGTTTGGTGAGAGGGAAGGACTGGCGGAAACTAAATGGACACAACCAACCCCCTTCTCATCTCCCAGTTTCCTGGGAGGGCTCAGACAATGGATTTTATCATGCCCCCTTTCCACTGATCCCTTCCCCTCCCTTCCCTCTATAGCTGGGTCCTGAGGAGAGCCCAACAGCAGCATCTTTCGGCAGGACCGATCCCTACCGTATCACGTTGTCTGATGTCAGCATTACTACATGGGGGTCTAGCACTTCACTTGGGTACCAGGCAGCGTGCTTCAGGATCAGGGAGGGGGAGCTGTTGAAGAACCTCTCGGCAATAGGAGTCGTGCTACAAGACAGGAAGCATCAATGACTTTCATTTTTTCTTGGTGCTCTTAACAGACTTGGATTCCAAACACTGGATCACTACAACTTCTTAACTTTTTTTTTTTTAGGCAATTGGGGTTAAGTGACTTGCCCAGGGTCACACAGCTAGTGAGTGTCAAGTATCTGGTCTGAGGCCAGATTTGAATTCAGGTCCTCCTGACTTCAGGGCCAGTGCTCTATCCACTGCACCATCTAGCTGCCTTTCAACCTCTTAATTCTACAATGAGCCCAGGGTTTGTCAACTTTTTGGGTACAGATTCCTTTTCTGGGGCAAATGACCTCAATCTGTTCACCACTGTTAAGGGGGAAAATCAAACCCTAAAGTAACGGGCCAGATAATTCTGCTTTTGATGGGTCTCCAAAGACAAGATATTTGCTGTGATTAAATCACCAATTCTGTCAAAAACACAAGCAAGAACTTTTCCCACAATAAACAAAATAGCCCCTGCCTCACCACACATGTATGCACACACCCAGACCAAGGCCTGAGGCAGATCCAACTTACCTACAGTTCACTGTTGATTTCCCGCCTTCAAATTCAGAATTCTTCCCCCATCGTTTCGGAAGCTCTAAGACAGTGAGTCCCCTGGTGCCAATAAGTGCCACATGATGGTGAGTCGGGCTCAATAGGACTTGGTAGACTTCAAACAGGGGAGGATTTATACAAAGCAATCTCTGGAAATTAAAGAAAGTTGGATTTAATGTTGACAGGAAAAATGTTAGTTATTTGGAAAGGGGAAAAAGTCCACACAATACTGCCCTAGATAACTGGAATGCTGTGAAGCTAACATAATAAAATCTCTGGTTTTAACCATTTGCAAAGGACGTCCCTTTCTCCCATTTATCAGTCAACAGAAGGCAATGAAGTTAGTGCCTCTTGCCCATGCAGGACACCAATGGCAAATCCCCTCCTGCAGGCCCAGCCAGGCCAGGGTTCTCTGTTCTCTGTGCTCTCCCTCTTCCCTTGCAGCCCCCACCTGCCTTCTCTCATCTTCTCCTCAACTCCTGGTCATGGCGGGAAGAGAGCAAGCTTCCTGTGGCAGGCCAGCAGGCAAGAAGGCTTCTCTTCAATTAGACACAGGAGTCAAGTCTATAATTAACTGGGCATTTGCATCGGATTTTGATTCATCTAAGTGAGGGAAAGAAATATGATTTAGGAAGAAAATCCACAAAACAAACACTATGGCCATTATGACCGTGCAAAGATGAGCCTCAGGAAGGACTAGAGTCGATTCCACCTTGTGACCCTGTGGCCAAAACTCTTCACCTCCTCTGTGCCTCACGATCTCTGATAGAGTGGGGGACAGAAGGTGGCCTCCAATGCTTTAAATCAAACACCCTCTGGCAATGGTTTTTAGGGTTTTTTTTTTACATTTTATTTATTTTTAGCATTCACTTAAAAAAAACACCTGAGTTCCAAATTCTCTCCCCTCCCTTCCATTGTGAAGGCAAGAAATGTGACATCAATTATACATGTGAAATCATGCAAAACATTTCCATATTTGCCATGTTGCAAAAAAGCAAGAAAAATAAAGTAAAAAAATGATGCTTCAATCTACATTCAGATTCCATCAGTTCTTTCTGACAACTCCACAAAACAGGATAGTAACTTGATATATTACAAGAGACAGGACACACATATGTGAACTTCTTATGCCAAGAACCCCGCCCTATAGACAGAGCCTGGAACAAATATAGGTACAACAAAAAGGGAAGGTCTCATGAGAAGACTGGAGGACAATCCCCTCCCAAATAGGAATGGTGTGGGAGGAGGAAGGGAGCAGTAGGGGAGGGGGATGGAGGGAGAACGTTCCGCTTATCTGAAAGGGTCCCAGCTACACAAACAGGTTATCACTCTGGGCTACACTGGCCAGAACCAGGCTTATAACTGACTCAGCTTTCAAGATCATCGAAAATTTTATAGAGTTCAGTAGCTCATAACTCACTGCTGTTAGTTTAGGGGAATTTCATCTCTGGAAAACAGGGCAACTCAAGAAAGCAAGCTCAGGGAGCCCCTTCACAAAGCAGATAGTATATTTCATCCTGAGTCTTTCGGAATTTTTTTGGATCATTGTATTAAGAATCATACAACATTGCTTTTACTGCGTACAATGCTCTGGTTCTGCTCACCTCACTCTGCATCAGTTCATATAAGTCTTTCTTCCAGGTTTTCTAAAACTACCCCATTTTGTTATTTCTTACAACACAAGAGTATTCCATCACAATCGTATACCCCAACTTATTCAGCCACCCCCGCCAGTTTCCAATTCTTTCAGCACCACAAAAAAGAGCTGCTATAAATATTTTTGTACCTATGGACCTTTGTCCTTTTCTTTGATCTCTTTAGATACAGCAATACCTAGCAGCAGTATTGCTGGGTCAAAGGGTATGCACAGTTTTATAAGCCCTTCAGAGGTAGGTCCCAACTGTTCACTAGAATGGCTGGATCACCACACAACTCCACCAACAGTGCATTAGTGTCCCTATATTTTCACATCTCTTCCAGCAATTGCATTTTCCTTTTAAGTCATCTTAGCCAATCTGATAGGTGTGGAGCTAATGAAATGTTTAAAGGCAATGACATAGTAAAGAAGAGTGGCTGGAGTCCAGAAGATCTGGGTCTAAATCCTGCCCGATTAATGGACCTGCCCCTCCGTTAACCTCTTCAAAGTTCAAGGAACTTTCTACAACTCCAACGGACCTGAAGAAACAGAGGGTCACAGCTTTAGAGCTGGCAGGGACCTTAATGAAGGGTCTTCATTCCATTACTCTAGCCAGAGACTAGAACCAAAAGTCAGTCACTCAAAAAGCATTTATAAGCTAAGCACTAGAGGAACTTCCACCCAGAAGCCCAATCGCGATTTCAAGATGCCTCAGGAATGTTTCACTTCATGCCCCTCCCCATCACCCCAGCTCGGGAACCCTGAACCACCATCTCATCCACTCGACCCTTGTCCCTGGATGGAGCATGTCAACGTACTCTAAGACGCCTTCAAGGCCAGGAAACAGCCCCCAACCCTCACCACTTGACCTTGGTCTTGGGGCTGGGTCAGGTCTGGTACACAAGAGGCACTAGATAAGCGCTGGTCCAGACCAGGGGCCCTCAGGGTGGTTTCCTGGACATCAACTTTTATTTGCCTGTATATTAAAGAATGGTGCAGTGTATAGAACACTGGGCCCGGAGGTAGGAAGACCTGAGTTCAAATCAGACTTCAGACACGGGGACCCTGGGCAAATCACTTAATTCACTCTCTTTGCCTCAGTTTCCTCATCTGTAAAATGAGCCGGAGAAGGCAATGGCAAACCGCTCGAATATCTTTGCCAAGAAAACTCCAAATGGGGAGAGGTGAGTCGAACTCGATTGAACAACACTTAAAAAGAATGGCTCCAATAAAGGCTTTTCATTCATCAGGCACTCCCCGAACCCCCGCTCTCCAGCCCTAGTAACAGCCCCGTTCCCACTATCGCCTAGTAACTAGCCCAGCCCGCCGTGCCCCCGCGCAGGCGCAGTCCGGCACCGCCGTTACCTGATAGCGACTTAGGGTGGGGCCCTCGCCGCCGCCACCTCCACAGTCGCTTTCGCTCGCACCACCCCCGCTCCCGTCGCCAGGGGCGGAGCCTGGGCCGCGCAGGCGCACTGCCAAGAAAGCGCCGGCCGTCCCGTCCCACAGGAAGAGCTCGGCGCCGAGCCCAAAAAGAAGGTTCCGGGTGAGGGTGGGCGGGCTGGGGTGCTCGGTGCCCGGCGCAGGAGAGCTGAGGGCCCGGAGGCCCTCGCGTAGCCGCACGAACACAACGTGTTGGGGCAGCCACAATCGCCACTGCTCGCCGTCGCCGCCGGCCTCCTCGGCCGCCGCCATCTTTCCCCGCGCCGCTCGCCTGGGTGCCGTCCCCCTCTGCTGTCCAATCAATGGCCGTCAGCCTCCGCTCCAGCCCATGAACACCCGTTCGCGTGCCTGTCCAATCGGCGCCCCTTCCTCTCCGACCAATCAGTGACCTCCATTATTCTGCCCAATCCGAACCCGAGGTTGCCAAGGGCGGTGGTCACGGGCTGAATCTGCCGCTGGGGCTGTGAACTCTGACCTGTTGGCGTCACGATAGACGGCGTGGTGCCTGGGGCTGGCCCCTTCAGGATCAGGGTTGTCACTTTATTGAGGCCGCTCCACTTCTAGGTCCAAAAGATCCTTTATACCCATAGGCAAACTGAAGCCAGGGTGGGCAAAGCCTGCTAAAAGGCCCCCAGATCTTTTTCATCGGGTCCTCTCGATGTTGCCGGGCCTCAGTGGCTCTCCCGACGGGAATCCGAAGGAGAAGGGCCTAAGAGAGCCAGAAGGTTGCGGACTACCGTTCCCAAGATGCGCCGGAAGCACTCGCGCATGCGCAGTCCGTGACCCAGTATGCAGTGCGGTGGGGGCGGAAGTAGCGGCCTCGCACGGGAGCCGGGCCTCTCTCGGATGTTATGGAGGAGGCAGCGGCGGGGCAGGGACGACGCGCACTTCACAAGCGCCCTGGGGGCCCGACCTGGAAGGAGACGTACCGGCAGGTGAGCGCGGTCTAGTTCGGGGAGCATCGCCCCTCCCGTCATGCCCCGCGGGCGCCCCTCCTCCTGCCGCCGACCCTACCTTGGCCTAGCCTCTAGGCCCCGCCCCATCCTGCCCACTCTCCTGGGCACCGCCTCTCGCCGCCTGATGCATGTGTGCATTGTTGGTGGCGCTGCCCTCGGGTCTAAGCCTTTGGGAAAATAGTTGGGAACGCTGCTATTCGAACTGGCCCGGAATACTTGTGAGGCCCAAGCTTGGCTCCTCTTCCAGACTAACCGTGGGTAGTGGGTAGGTGGTAGACTAGACTACCCAGGCAGTAGCCCTTCTCTTCATGTATTTCGTTTGCATTCCTTTTCCCCCCCCTTTCAGGGTTGTTGACATCGACCGTTAGTTTTGGTTGTCCGACTTGGATGCTTGTCTGTGCTCAGAGCTTATCCCCCTTCCCTGTTGCTTTTTTGCCTGCCCTTTGCCTTATTTCTTTGGATGTAATTAAATTGTTAACTAAATGAGTTTAGTTTTCTACTTATCCACTCTCTTGGGGCAGTCTCTTTCTCTGCCCTCTTAAGCAAAAAACCTCATTTCTAGTTTTCCTTTGCTTCCTTGTCATCATTTCTCTTCCCTTCTAATCTAAATCTATTCTGAATTTTATTTCCTAATTTTCTAAAGATTCTATCTTTATTCTCTCTGTAAACTCCATGAGATTACACTTTTAAAGTCCCTGGTTTGAGCTGCTCCTCCTAGCCATTTTCTGTCTCTGGCTCCATTTTTTTTTTCCTGTGCCTCACTCACTCTTAGAAATGTTATTTCATAGGCAAAGAATAAACAAAACTATCACTCTTTGCAGATGATATGAGATATATTTAGGGAATCCTAGAGAATCAAGTAAAAAACTACTTGAAATAATAAACAACTTTAGCAAAGTTGCAGGCTGTAAAATAAACCCACATAAATCATCGACATTTCTATATATTACCAATGAAGCCTAACAGCAAAAGATAGCAAGAGAAATTCCATTTAAAATTACTGTAGACATTATGAAATATTTAGGAGTCTACCTATGGAAACAAACCCAGGAACTATATGAATACAATTACAAAACACTTTTCACACAAATAAAGTCATATCTAAATAATTGGAAAAACATCAGTTGCTCTTGGGTAGGCTGAGCTAATATAATAAAAATGACAATTCTACCTAAGCTAATTTACTTATTCAGTGCCATACCAATCAAACTACCAAAAAATTATTTGATAACGTTAGAAAAAATAATAACAGGATTCATCTGGAATAACAAAAGGTCCAGAATAGAACTAATGAAAAGAAGTTGAGGGGAAGGCGGCCTAGCCATTGTATTATAAATTGTATTACAAAGCAGCAATCATCAAAACTGCTTGGTACTGGCTAAGAAATAGAGTGGTGGATGGGTGGAATGGGTTAAGTATGCAAGACATAGTAGTCAGTGATTATAGTAATCTACTATTTGATAAAATCAAAGACCCCAGCTTCTGGGATAAGACCCACTCTTTGACAAAAACTGCTGGGAAAACTGGAAAAGAGTATGACAGCAACTAGGCATAGATCTAAATCTCACACCGTATACCAAAATAAAGCCAAAATGGGTTCATGAGTTAGATATAAAGGCTGATACCATAAGTAAACTGGGAGGACAAGGAATAGTTTACCTATTAGATCTATGGAGAACAGAAGAATTCATGACCAAACAGGAGATAGAGAACATTTACGAAAAGCAAAATGGATGACTTGATTACATTAAATTGGAAAGTTTTTTTTCACAAACAAAAGCCAATGCAACCATGATTAGAAGGAAAGTAGAAAATTGGGAAAGAATTTTTGCAACTAGTATCTCTCATAAGGGCCTCATTTATATAGAGAATTAAGTCAAATTTATAAGAATACAAGTCATTCTCCAATTGATAAATAGTCAAAGGATATGAACAGGAAGTTGTCAGATGAAGAAATTAAAGCCATCTATTGTTGTATGAAAAAATGCTCTCATTCACTATTGATTAGAGAAATGCAAATCAAAACAACTCTGAGGTACCACATCACACCTCTCAGATTGGCCAACATGACAGAAGAGGAATATGATGAATGTCAGAGAAGATGTGGGAAAATTGGAACACTAACGCATTGTTGGTGGAGTTGTGAAATGATCCAACCACTCTGAAGAGGAATTTGGAACTATGCCCAAAGGGCTATAAAAATGTGCATACCCTTTGACCCAGCAATAGCACTTCTAGGGCTATATCCCAAAGAGATCAAACAAATGGGAAAAGGACCCACATGTACAAAAATATTTATAGCAGCTCTTTTTGTGGTGGGAAAGAATTGGAAGTGGAAGGGATGCCCATCAATTGGGGAATGGCTGAACAAGTTGTGGTATATGAATATAATGCAATACTATTGTGCTATAAGAAATGATGAGCAGGCAGACCTCAAAAAAACCTGGAAAGACCTGTATGGACTGATGCTGAGTGAAGTGAGCAGAACCAGGAGAACGTTGTACACAGTAACAGCCACATTGTGCAGTGACTAATGTTGATAGACTTAGTTCTCAGCAATGCAAGGATCTAAGACATCTCCAAAAGTCTCATGATGGAAAATGCTGTCCACATCCAAAGAAAGAACTATGGAGTTTGAATGCAGATCAAAGCGTACTATTTGCTATTTTTTTTTCTTCTGTTTTGTTGTTTCCTCTTTCTGGTGATTCCTCCTGTTGGTTCTAGTTCTTCCTTACAACATTACTAATGTGAAAATATGTTTAATAGGAATGTATATGTAGAGCCTATATCAGGGAGATGGTGAGAGAGGGGGAGAATAAATTAAAACTCAAAAGCTTATGGAAGTGATTGTTGATAAATCAAAATAAATTAATAATTAAAAAAAAGAAATATTATTTCATGAAGGACAGAAATGTTGGATGGAGGCCCTGTGCGTCCTCTCATGTAAGTGAGGCTTGCTTCTTCTCCACCCTAAAGTCAGGCCATTCTCCCCCCACCCCCTTTCCCCACAATTACCCTGCAGCTTGGTCCTAAGCTCTCAGGGGTTCTCGTGCAGGGAAGGGCCTGGGGCATCATTTGTCTGGCCTCTACTTTGTGTTGCTCATATTTTTGTATTTTGCACTCACTTATCTTTCTCCTCCCAGGGATGCTTTCAGAGAATGAAAAACAGCAGGGCCCGGCTCCTGGACAAGTATCGCCGAGTGGGAGTAGCTCCCCGAGGCCTCATGGCCCAGGAGGTGATGGAGGCAGAGTGGCTGACCTTGCAGTCCACCCACGAGAGCTTGGCCCAGAGGTGCAGCAGGACTTTTGCACAGGTCTGTCTGCCCACAGGTGGTGAGTGAGGGGTACGAGGGACTATCCTCCATCCTTTTCAGTATTTGGACAACTCTTGGGACAGAGACCAGGAGGTCTGGGAGCCCCTTATTTCTTTAGCATTAGTGGGGAAAAGGCTGGTGCACCAGGGCGCTATGAAAGGGCGGTCCTGAGGTCCCTCCTGCCCGCTCCCTCGAGGGGTCATGGCTACGCTGGGCCACAGCTTGGGATCCTTTGGAGGAGAAGAATACAAACCCACATGCTTCCTCTCCCTTGTAGGTGGAGGACCCTGAGGAACTTGCTGTCCTGGAGGACATCCAGCAGGAGCTGATGAGTCAAGGTGATTCTGGAATGTGGGCCTTGGATGCTCCAGCTCCCTTGCGGCAATTTGGCCACAAACCTGCCCCATGTGCTGGCACCTCCCCCTTGTCTCAGTGTTCACTAGCCTAGGCATCAGGAGGCCTGCATCCTAGGGCAGACGTGGCTGGCCAGTCTTGGGCAGATCCCTCCCCTCTCTGAGCTTGGGGGAATGCCCGAGGATCTGTTCCAGGGCTGGCCTGTGGGAGAGCGGTAAGCGTGGACTACAGGTGAGGAGACTGGGCCTGGGGCGAGAAGCCACTCCATACCAGTGTGCTCCAGATGGTGCTGACCTGAGAGAGCTTTGAAAGAAAAAGCGTGGGCCAGGGTGTCTTCCATGTAACCATGGCATCTGAGAGCAGAGCAGACTTTCTGCCACTCTCCCACATGATGAGGTGGGCCAGACCACTGGACCTAGAGCCAGGGAGGCTTGAGTTCTAATCCTGCCCCACACATGGTAGCTGGGGAACTGTGGGCAAGTCCCTTCGGTGTCCTAGTCCATAAAAGGGGAGTTGAAGTCTGGTGAGGATCCAATGGTGTCCTATGTCAGTGTTGATAAGAATGCACACACCCAGTGTTTCGCAAGCCTTAGGTCTTTATACACATGGATTGCTACTTTTGCTGGTGTGAATGTGTTCTAGACTCCCCTCCACAGCCCTCAGGCTGACTACGTGCCCCTCCCTGGCTCTCTCCCTCTCTTTATAACTGTCTTGTATTCATCTGAATCTCCCTGTACTATGTCCATGAGTGTGTGTGTGGGGGGAGTGGTACGGATCAGTACATACACACACACTCACACACACACCCATGTGGCTCCCACTTTGAGAGGAGGAAGGACTGTTACCCTCGGTGTATTTATACTCTGAGTGCCTGGTACCGAGTATGTATTTTCTGTCCAGGCTGGCTCAGGGCCACTGGGGGGCTCTGTTGCTCTCATGGCAGGGTTTTAGGGTCTCAAAGCGTGGGTCTGGGGCCTCTCCCTAAGCCATCTGTGTGTGCCCCTGCTGTGTTATTCCTCCATGCCTTCCCACACAGAGGCCTGGGCGCCAGGAGTACTGGCCATCCTGTCCTCCCACGGCCCCATAAGCTCTTGTGGTCCTGTCCTTCAGAGTTCCTTGTGCTATTACAGCTTGATTGTGCCCTTTGCCCCTCTCTATGATGCTCATCTTTCATTCTCGGCCTGGGGACAGCAGCAGCAGTAAAATATTTGCATGGGTCTTTGCTATAGGAAAAGCTGTGGTCCATAAAGGAGGTTGGCAGTGTCTCAGTGTGGTCTAGTCTGCTCTCTGCCTCCTTTTTAGCCCTGCCCAGCTTGTGGTCCCCTTGTTCTGGGTCCCAGAAATACATATGATGGGTTAACAGTAGGATGTCCATTCAAATGCAGGTTGAATATCTACACACACACTCACACACACACACCCATGTGGCTCCCACATGGTATTCTTCATCCATTTGGTGTTCCTTGTGTGGATGGAAAATCTGAACTCCTTCAAGTGATGCCAGATGTCTTCCAGGAGGCTCTGTAATGCCTTGGGCTTCATGCAACACCCCCAGTGTCATCAGCAAACAAGTGTCCCTTGCCCCCTGGGAAGCCATCCCTCCTTGAGCCAGATGGTGACGAGCACCTTTGAGGAGAGTCCACCTCCTCATTTTTGTGCCTTATTATTGGGTGGGGGGATGAACGGGTATTTCCATTGTTTCCTCTTCCAAAGAGTCTTGAATGATCTTGACGTGTGGGTGGGAGCACCTTGGGAGAAGAGCCATTGAACAAGCCCAGGGAAGTCATTGTGAGTCGCAGACGTTGTCCATTGTGGTCTGGCACTTGCTGAAGCCTCCTGACCAGTGCCTTGGGTTAGTTGACTCTAGGTGACACCATTGGCACCTTTTCCATGCTCCGGCATCTTCCTCTCTTCCAGATACCTTGTGTCCAGGCATCTCAAAGCTCACCTTCACACTTGTGCAGATCCCCCCACAAGAATCTGCTCTGAGACCCCAAGATGTTTTCCTGCCTTTGTTCTCTTGGGTGCCCCTCCTGTCTCCTCTGCAGGAGCATCTAGGCAGACAAGATTAGGTAGGGTCTAGCAGCCCTGGGTGGGGGAAGCAGGGCTTTCTCCATCTTTTCCTTTCTGTTTTCTTTCTTTTCTCGTCCCGCATTTTCGTCCTTGAGCACCCACGGGTTGGCCTTGCTAACCCTCTGCTGCTTCACAAGGTGGCACTCCTCATAGTCCCTAACTGATAAATTGTCAAAGGGTAGGAACAAGCCATTCTTGAGAGAAGAAATTCAAACTTCAAAAGAGCCATATGAAGAAATGCTCCAGATCACTCAAGGAGAATGGCAGAGGCTGGAAGAATTTGTTCATGAAGTGTTGATGGAGCTGTGGCCTGGCCTAGCCATCCTGGAGACGCTGAGAACTACAGCCAGAAGTCACTCAGCTGGGCACCCCCTATGGAACCATCCTATACCACAAAGATATAGAAGCAAGAAGAAAAGGATCCACATGTACAATGTGTATGGCAGCTCTTTTTGTGGTGGCACCAGACTGGGAGCTAAGGGGGTGATCATAGTGGCAAATGGCTGAATAGATTCCTGTAGGTGAACTGAACGGAGCCTTAACAGGCTGCAAAAAGTGATGAAGGCGATGGCGTCAGAGAAACCCCCAGAGATCTCTGTGACGTGATGCCAAGTGAAGTGAGCAGAACCAGAACAACCAAACTGGAAAGCCTCAGAATTCTGATGAATGCAGCAGCCAGGCAAGATTCCTTCCAGAGGATCAGTGATCAGGATGTTGGAAGGCACCCTTTTCTGGACGTGGTTTGACTGTGTGGTACAAGAGATTTTTTTTTTTTGCAGGGGCAGGGGGGAGGGATTGGGAGCCTAGGAATTAAATGCTTGCCCCTCATCTAGCACCATATCCCAATAAGGGTTTTCAGTGAGTTTCTATTCTGTTTAGTTTGCCAGAAGCAATCTAGCCCATTCTCCTGCTCAGTTCTGGGCTAGGTCACTAGCTGTAGCCATCTGTCATTTAAGTATCACTGGGCTCACCAGACAGTGGCTGGTTCAGTGGCACAACCTTATTTGGGCATGTGGTGTTTCCTGTGTGGCATGCTAGCTTCATCCCGGTCTTTGGAAGCATGTACATTGTTGGTAGCTTGAGTTCAGTTTGCTCACCATGATGGTCTGCAAAGGGATATCTCTGTATTTGGACAGGACATTGTGACAGTGGGCACACGCACCGGGGGAGCACTCACTTCCCTCTCTGATGTCTCCCCTGCTTCTGTCGCTGTTCCGTGGTTTCATCTTTTGGATTCATGGGAGCACGGGAGCATGATCTTGCCATTTCTGGGCTGGAACCTTGTTGGAAATCGTTCCTTACAGCTGAGATTGCTCCACCGCATCTGGCATTTCTGTGGAATCATGGATCACACTTGGGTCTGGACTGGCAGTTACTCTCACTTCTGGGGACAATCACCTCTGAAGGGCTGAGGGCTCCTTTCTCGTTTTCATCAAACATACCTGAGATGCCTCTGTACATGAAGCCTCTAAAGTCTGGATAGAGGTGAGAACAAGTACTTGGGCCTAGGGGTGCTGATGTTGGCTTGGTCATCTTTGGCAATATTATGGTCATTTATTTTTGACTGAAGCTTATGTCATTGGTACAGGAAACAATCCCTTCCACCAATGCAAATGGTCCCTCTAGTCTGAAATATAGAACCGGAAGAAGCTTGCCATGACTTTTCCCTCCCCAAGGTAGCCGGTATGGTTGAGATGCCAAACAGACCTCTGCGTGCTGTGCTGCTGCTTGGCTTGGCTTGTCTCTCGGGATGGGCCATGGTCATATTCATTCCTTTAGAATCTTCCCTCCTTTGAGAAACCATGTAAATCGTAAATGGCTGCCTCGGGATGGATTGCTCTTTTATCCTTTGGGTTAGAGTCAGGCATTGTCCCAAACTTTATCTGTTCACCTGCTGTTGCTACCTCCTGATTTCCTCACTGATAGAACTGTCCTAGAAACAGCCAACAGTGTTCCACTTCATGTCTCTAGTTGTCATGCTCCCTGTTTGGTCCCCAAATGCCCACAGGACGAGATGATTTTGTTGGGTCTCACCCCAACCTCATGGGGCTCTTTTGTGAAGTCGGACTGTTTCTAACTGTTCATCTGTTCTGGAATACCACAAATCACGAGTGCGCGAGACTCTCTGTCTGGCAAGGAAAGCGAGTGTTTGCCAGCCAAGGTTCCTGGCCTCATCTGACCCAGGCCCTGCTCGTTGGGTCAGGAGCCTTTTTCATCTTTCAGTTTGCTTTCGTTGCCAGTCAGTGACCAGACAAGCTGTGTCTGAATTGATGCCCACAGGGACACAAAATCATTATAAAAACTGAGATTTACGGAGAGGTTTTTAAAAAACTTTTTTTCCATCCAGGGAAGATATTTGCTGCCCTTTTGTCATCTATGAGGCCAGTTCCTTGAGGACTTTGTTTTGTTTTTATATTCCTGTGGCTTAGCACAGGGCCTGGTATATGGTAAGTGCTTGATCACTGCTCTTTACCATGGAAATAGCCATTCCCTTAAGAATCCAGATACAGAAAAGCGAGATTTTTGGTAAGGCTGGTCAGGGAAAATACTGCCTTTGGCTTTTCCAACCAGTAAAATATTATAGGAACACTTCATTACCATGCTCTTTATGACCTAGGAGTAGAGCTGGGGTCCCACACTAAGAACTAGGTGGCTTCAGTGCCTGCCTGTCAGAGAACTTAAAAGAAAATAGATTTAATATTGACCATTAATACAGCTCATTGAATGTGTTTTTAAATTTCAGTCTACAAAATCTCGTCTCAGTCCCTCCCTCTCAAGTCTCTGTCAGGATTCTTTGTCCTCTCATAACTTACTTTTCCTTTTAAATGGCCTTTGTTTTGTATCTATTTTATTCTTCTGGTTTTGCCTTCTCCCCTTTTAAACATTTTTTCCAGATTACTTGTAGGTCTTAATTACATTACAGTAGTCTGTTATGTGAACGTAGCATATTTTAATCTAACACGGCCCCCCGCCCCCCACCCCCGCTTACTGGGGGCATTTAGTTTGTTTTGCAGTCCCATATAATGTTGCTATGGAAATATGACTGAGCTTTAGAGGACTCTCCAGGCATTTCCCAACCATGGGGTTACTGGGTCCAAGAGGGCGCTTCTTTTTATAGAGTCCTCCATGCTGCCAGATTATCTTTGCACGATGACTGAACGTGTCTGATTTTCCACAGCCCTACCAGCATTGCGTCTAATTGCTTTTTTCTGTAGCACACGCAGCCTGGCTGTGGGATGAGGTTTCCCAGTTGTGTTCCTCCTGTCCCTGGACACTTGGAGGTTTCCTCATTGCCATTTTTCTGTGCCAGGGGAAGAGAATGTTGGTTTTGCCCTGAGTGACATAGCTTTCCTTTCCCTTCCAGAACAAGCCTTCATTGAGGAATATGAAAGGAGTTTGTGGTTTGACGACAGGTGCCTCTGGGCGCTGTTGGAGGGGCTGCAGACAGATGGGCTCATCTGTCCAGTGTGTTCAAGGTAAGAGCTTCAGTCTTTGGGGGCAGCTTTGAGTTGGGGCCATTGAGATTTCAAACCAAAGGTGGTTTTTCTAGCTGGCTTCTGAGAATGGGTCTGCTTTTAGGTACAACCTGACTGTGGTAAGAGGCACAGTCCTGTGTCAGTGTGGCCTCCGTCTCTCGTCTCAGGTGAGTTGTCCCCTCTTGCTGTCCCTTAGACATTGTACAATTGCCTGTTTATAGTGAGGCAGCGCGCATTAAGTGCTGACTGTGTGTGGAGCACTGAAGAGCCCCTGCCTTCTAGGATTGTGTTCTAAAGCAGGAAGACAAATAGGAAGGGGAAGAGCACAGGTGTCTGGAGCAGGGCTGTGGTCCTAAAAGGGGCCGTCCACTCAGAGGGAGGGGCCTCCAGGAGAACCACGGGGGTGGGGGTGGGGGTATTACTTTCCTTCACCATGTTCCCCCTCAGGCTCCAGAGCTGACAGAACAGATCTTCCGGGCCCTCTTAGAGGAAAGTGTGAACAGACACAGTGAGTTCTGTGCCCACAGGCCTGAGTTTTCTGTCACCAGCGGAACAGAAGAAAATGCCAGTCTTCTCCTGAGCTGTGTGGTAGGCTTAGCGCACATTCAGCGCACTGGAGCCTTCTGGCTCCTGAGGGAGGCTCGGTGGGGCTGCTTCTGTCTGATGTACTGCATTGCCCTTTGACCCTGAATCCTTCATCATCAGATGCCAGGAAGCTGATTGCCTTTTAGCAGGCAGAAAGGGAAACCATAAAATCTGCACATGTAACTAAGAAGGGAGACAAGGCCAGGGCAGTTCCTGGGAGAAGAGCTAGAGTTGTCAGTGGACCGCCAGCTTAGAGTGAGTCAGTATCTAAGAGAACAGCCTGTGTATGGGAGGGGTGGGGAGCATCACCATGTCAGAGGCCTTCAGGCCAACCCACACATAAGGATCCCTTTGACCACCTGACCTCAAAAGGGTCAGCCTACATGCTTAAAGACTCCTGGTGAGGACAGGCGCTGGTGTGCTGGGCTGCCTGGTGAAGTAGTGAGCTGCCCCTCCTCATTATTAGAGGCCTGAGAGGAGAAGCCCTAGTCAGAAAGGCTGCTCAGGACAAGGCAGTGAGCCTGCCGGCCACACAGGGTTAGCATCCCCCCCCTGCCCCCTTCCTGGTGTCTCCCTGCCACCGCCCCCCACCTGGTCCTGCTGTGGCCCTCCATAGTTACAGATTGTTCTCTTCTGTGTACAGGTGTGCGACACTTGGATGGTTCTTCTCTGATGGCCTCTGGAGGATGTCCTCCTCGTGGAGCGAGGGGTCATGTTTCTATGGATAATTCTATTTATTCCTGGGTATGGGGAGGGGACTGAGGGGAGCCAGGACTGACATTGGACGCTGGAGGGGCCCAAGTGTTTTATTTCTCATCATTCTGTGGTGGTGTACAAAAATGCACATGGAGCAAGGAAATAAAAGGGTTAGGGAACATGATCTACGTCTGACAGCATTCTACCGCGCTTTCTTCATGATAGCTTCTACATAACTTCTCTTTGAAGGGCAGGGTCTCGCAGCGTCAGGCCTCCCCTACTGACACTTGACAAACCCTTTCAGATCTTCCAGAAAGCTGATGTACTCCTGGTGTTCTAAGGCTGTGCTGAGCTCGATCAGTTCATCTGCAAATGTGTTGTCCACCCCTCGGTCAGCCAGGAAGTCCATCAAGTGGTCATACAGGGCCTGGAACAAGACAGGTCTTGGTGGCCTGCTCCTCTGGGCCAACTGGGTTCTTCTGTATAGGCTGGGCAAAGTGCCTGGCCACACCTCCAAGGAGGTAGAGCCCAACCCTGCAGACACTGACCCTTGATTTTTGTCCAGGTCATTCTTACCTTCAGCTGGTTCCCCCCCTACGTCACCAGATAAAAGAATAAGGAACTCAGAGGCAAACCCCAAACTAGGCACGGAGGTGTCTCAAACTTGAAGTGCAGAGACCAAGTCCTGTTTTCAGGGAGGATAGGGGGAGACAAGCCAGGAAGAGGTGAAGCCTCCTGATGAGGGCCACCAGGCCTGCAGAGGGGAAAGCTGGCCCTCTGGGCCCACGAGACCTCCCTTTAAGGTTCTTGTTCCTAGCGCTCTAACCCTAGGCCTTTGCTACTACAGTGGGGCTTTAGGCATCCTCAGAGGTGCTCGGCCACCGTTCTCTCTGCCTGGGGGCTCAGAGCTAACAGAAGGACATTCTAGGCCCTAGAATACAAGTCCCCAGAACAGGAAGGCTGTGACAGTGGGGCACTTGTCTAAGCTCTTAGTGAGTGGGGGAGGGGACATGGCCAAAGCACCCCACTCTGGCTAAGATCCCCCGTACCTACCCAGTCCAGGGAATCCGTGTTGAGTGTGTAGTTTGTATCCTTCCAGTCAGATTCGCTGGTGGGCTGAAAGCTAACTTCCCGGATGGAGAAAATGTCACTCTCATCCTCTTCCTCCTGTCCAACCTAAAAAGTTTTCAGAAAAGAATGGGGGCTGGGTGCTAGCCAAGGGCCTGGGGCTGTGGAAAGAGTTCCTTGTTTGGAGTCATGAGGCCTAGGCTTGAGAAGCCAATTAATTGGTCTCTCTGAGCCTCACCTTCCCAACTATGAAACGGGGGTGACACTGCCAGGACCACCACCTTGCTGCTGGTTTACCCTAGCCAAGTGACTCAGGGACTGACCTCAGCATTTCCCACCCAACCTTGCCTTGCCCCTCCCCACAGAGGCCACAAGGAGATGGAGGGAGCAGGCCCTGCCCCACGGGAAACCATCCCCCCCACCCCCGGTTCTACCTCGTCCTCTGGATAGTGGCAGTCCAACACAAGGGCCTTCTTGGTATCGTCCTTCACAACCTCCACCACGAAGTTTGGGGTTGATGTAAGTTCAGGCTGGACCCGAGGAGAAGTCAGTTAGCCAGGGTTCTATTGGCCCAGGGCCCAGCTCCCTCCCCACCAAGGCCTGATAGGGTCACTCCCTGTCAATGGCTTCTCTTCAGCACCTGCCAATTACTTCCAGGACCAAATATGACCCTGTCCTCTGACACCTGGTACCTTCCAAAATGGCATTCCAATCTGCTTGCCAACATGACCCCCTTTCTTACACATTCCCTTCTTGGCTGTCGCGGTTTCTCAGACTTAGTGCTCCATCTCCTGCCCACACTGTGGACCCTGGGAATGTGGCTCATGCTGGAATGGGGCCCTCTCTTGCCTCAATTACCCTGCATTGATCTGTTTCAGGAGGATCTGCACACAGTATCCACCACAACTGAATTAACCTGGTGGACCCTGACAAGCTGGGGTGTGAAAGGCTCCCATACCCTCATGTGCTCAGTGCCCAAATGTACTCTTGGAAGGGGGCGCTGAAGCCCCAGGCTGAGCTCACCTCTTGCTGTTCATGGGCTTTCTGTCCCTCTGGTGGTTCGTCATCAAATGTCGGTGGGATACTGTTGTTAATATTGAATGTGACTGTAATCCTGAAGCAGAAAAAGAAATCAAGTGGGTCCCGTATCTGTTGCGATCCCCTCCTCCGCCCCTTCCCCACAGGGCACACCAGCAGCCTCTCCAGGCCAAGGGAGTTCGTGTCCCGTGACCCAACAACATGGTTTTTGTAAGGGATGGAAGTAGAAGCCCAAAGCAGCGCTGCTGCGTTTCAGGGGCCTATTCCCCCCCCCCCCGCCACCATCATCCTTCCATGGCTAGTTTCTCAAGCTTGGCCCTTTCCCTACCACCATCAGGAGGGACAGCATGTTTTAGGGGTGGTCCCTCTTTGGACACCTTTCTCCCCAACTCCCCTCAAACACCCACCTGAAAGGACCATTGTATAGGGCTGTTCCAGTGACTCAGGAGTGTGGGATTTAGTGATGACACACAAGTTCTACCTACCATCTGATGTCCGCTAAGGTCCCCTTTTCCAGCTCTCAGTCTGTGGTCATAGGACCAGCAGTGAGTGCCCGGGGCATACCAACAGTCCCTCCCAGTCCAGGCCAGACTCACCTCTCGCCAGCTAATCTCCGGACTAACTTGGCTTCTGTCCCTTGCACACCCAGTTCCCAATCCCCAGACATCTTGGGGAGGGATTTGTGTTTCTGGATTTTCCTCTCCTCTTTAATTTCATCTGTCAGGAATTTGGCAAAGGCCTTGTCCCCTGAAATAAAAATGGAGATACGGGAATGCCATCGTTTAAACTCTTATCATGGGTTCGTGTTAAAGACAGATGCAGAGACCCTTGGCACGGCCAGCCTCGACTAAAACTCTCACTTTTCTCATGGACTTCAAGGTTGAGTTGGGTGGGGAGGCCTGAGACCATCATGATGCCAGTATGGCCACATACCTCCTGGCTGCCTCCCCCATCTACCTCTCTAACACAGGGGGTGGGAGGTATGGGCAGGGCCTCAGTTCCCTCTCCCCAACAGCTGTGAACATGAATCTGGAGTCAAGGCTAGCCAGGAATAAATGACAGACAAGGAACAGGTGCCCTCAGTGCCTCTGCAGGAGTCCTTCCTGACTGAGCCCAGCTCCTGAGTCCCGGCACGGTCCCTTCCCAAGAAGAAGGAAGCTCCCCAAGGGCAGGGCCTGTTTCCTCCTGACTAAATGCCCATTTAGTGCCAAGATGAAAATGTAACAGTCCCTGGACTCGATCAAATGAGGGAACCAGACTGACACAAACATAGGGCATTTATCATATAGCGATGGTGGGCAGGAAGACTCGGGAATCAGCCCCTTGAGGGGGAGGCATTGGAAGCTAGGTGCAAATCCAGAAGGCGCTGAGCCGCCGAGATAGCCTGAGCCTGCAGAGCACAGCAGACCTCAGGATGGACCCCAAAGCAGGGGTGGAAGGGAAATGGACCAAAATCTGGAGTCCAGTGCAGGCTAAGAGGGGGAGTCACAAGCTAATAGTCTGGCAATTCATGTTGCAGGTGAAAATGATTTGCTTCTCTGGATGCCGGGTTTAATGGGCGCCAAATGACAGAATCAGTGTGGGGGAAAATGGAAGTTTTTTACTGGAAATGTCAAGTGTAATGATATTGTTCTGAATCTCTCTTTTCTTCTGAATCTTGCTACCTGTACTGGGGAAATCATTTACATTTTTTTCTATGTGAGATTGCCAAGTTATCCTCTATCTCCACAGTGGTGAAATACGTAACCTTCCATTCACCCCCCTCTGATTTGGCTCACAGGTGGCATTTTTCATGTCAACAATGTGGTAAAATCTGCTCTGAGACGGCAGTCTACCCTAGGCATCTGCTAGACCACTTTCCAACGTTCACAGTGAATTTGTCCATCTTTCCTGAGTAGTTTGTGTTAAGGATTTATCCACTACTGGATAGCTGCGCACACTACCTGAACAGGCACATCTAAGAAGAACCTGGCCTATTTGTTTTCTTGAGCAATTTTGGGTCAGATGTCCCAGTGTCTCAATAAGAGGCAAGGTCCAGGGAGACAAGACCTAATTACTGTGGACGAGTCATTTCACCTCTGCTAGGTTAAGGATGAGATGCCAACCTGCAATGGTGCTGCTAGTTCCCTCATCCTTCACCCTGCAGCTCCCCCAGCCCCGCCCAGGGTGAGGGGGGAAGGGTATTACATGTCCTAGAAGGTGGCAAGAGAGGAAGGTCACTGATCCAGCTTCTGCTTTAAGACTGCCCACTTTAAGGCACTCCTCCTTTGTCACTTCCTCACATGGCTGCTCCTGGCCCTGCCCATTTCTTCCAGTTAAAGGACCCCAATTCCTTCAGCCATCAGTGTGTGTCCTTCACTGCCATGACTGCCCTCCGCAAGACACTTCAGCTCACCAAGGCCCTTCCTAAGGTGAGCAGCTAGTTAGAGGCACCAGGTAGGTTCAGCCAGGACAAGAGAAGACTAGAAAGGAATGTACTAACTTAAGCCTTCCTGTGCCTGACTGTTGTGGCCCAAGATACAGACCACAGCAGCCATAAGTGGGGGGCAGGCGGAGGGGTGGTGGCAGGAGAAAAGGCCACCGTGGGAGGGAGGACAGAGTCGTGACAGGGGTCAGGGTGGCTAACTCTGGCCCTTCCCACCCCCCACCCAAACATCTAAGTCACTTCAAGTTCTTTAAAGGGGTGCTAGGTGGGCCAGTGGATAGAGCTCCAGCCTTGAAGTCAGGAGGACCTGAGTTCAAATCCAGCCTCAGACCCTTGACACTTACTAGCTGTGTGACTCTGGGCAAGTCACTTAACCCGGGATTGTCTCACCAAAAAGAAAAAAAACAAGTTCTTTAAAGAAAAAAGAGACACAACCCCTCCACCCCCCCCCAAGTCTCTGGTAAAGATGCATATGTTGCTGCATGTTGTCATTTACTGCCAACTGAGGTCCCAGGAAGTGGGACGGTGGGGCTTCAGCCCCAGTGCCTCCTGGCAGCTGCCCCAGGAGGACTTCTTACCCCATAGCCCATTGGGCCTGGAGCCAGGAAGACCTGTCTTCAAATCCAGCCTCAGACACTTACTTGCTAGGTGACCCTGGGTAAGTCCCTTCACTGCCCGCTGCCTGTATAGTTTCCCTAACTGTAATATGGGGAATAGCCCCTTACCTCCCAAGGTTGTGGAGGGGCTCAATAATGAGATATTTGTAAAGTGCACAATGCCTGGCACATAGTAGGCATGTAATAAATGTTTCTTCCTTTCCCCTTCCCTCTCTGACTACCCATCAACTACCGATGCCAAAATCTCACATTAATCAATTAGAATCTCTGATTCTATCAGCTTCTGCTGCCTCTCCACAGAAATATTATCTGGTCATTGACTAAACAACTTAACGATGTAACAATAAAAACAAAAACAAATAAGAACTTAACAATGTATAGGATCCTAGTATTCACTAGGGAAATGTGGTCACCAACCCACTCTCCACCAATGAAGGGGTTTTTCCTCAACATTTCTCTTCAAGTTAATTTAAGAAAGAGGTTCAAGGCAGTAGCAGTGTCCAGAGTCTATGGGAGCTACCATCACGTGGGTAGACTCTCGGGGCGCCAATTCCAAAGGCTGCTCGCTGAGGAAAGCGCTAGTGCCAGATGCCCCAGTGCACTATGGATAGTCCTGGCTCTAATGGTCATTGATTTGCTTTAGATCAGACAGTCTGGTGTGATTAGTAAGAAACCACAGAATTAGTGAAGTCCAGAGGAGAGGGAGGAGACGGGGGAGGGGGCGAGAGACAGAGCCAGGATGGCCGGGCAGTGGGAAGGCGAGGAAGCTGCGGGGACCCCCACAGCAAGAGTTCCTCCTGAGAACAGGTCTGGGGGTTAGGGTCAGAGCCACGTGGGGCTTGCTCCCTCCGTACCCACGACCACGACTCTCACGGTCAGCGCCGCGCACCGGTCTCTCCGTCAAGGGGAGGAGGAGCCCCAGTTTCAAACCCAGCCCCTCCCAGTCTGCATAATCAGCGCCCCAGACGCGACCTGACCGCCTTTGAGGGGTGCGGGGCCACGTGCGCACCCCGCGAGGTCGGCGTGGGAACCCCTCCCCGGGTCCCAACCGCGCGCACTCACCCTCGGTGTGGAGCCCCCCGCATGTGCACGAGCACAGGCCGGGCGCGCTCCGAGGCGGCTGTAGGAGGCGGGGACGCGCGGGTCCCGACCCGCTGGCGATTCCTCCTCCCAGGAGGCTTCCGAAGGCGCGGGTGGCGGTGGCCACGGCGGGGCGGAGCGTCGGGAGGGCGGCGGGGCGCAGGGCCCGGGCCACGGGGCGCAGCAGCAGGGGAAGCAGCAGCGGGGCCATGACCGAGACACGCGGAGGGGTCTGGAAGCAACCACGGCGACCGGAAGGACAGCTGAGAGCGCAGAACACGCCGGGAAGTGCCCAGGCCGGAAGGGCACAAGGTCACCCCGCCCCGGAAGTTCTGCGCCACATCGGAGCGGCACAGCGCCCCTTGCCGGGAGGCAGTGACAGCGTCCCTTCTGCGCCTGCCCCAGTGAAGGTGTTCAAGGACGCGATGATTGGCTGATTGGAGATGATTGGACGCCACCGCTGAAGTCACTTCCTGCTCTAGAGCGAGGATTACCCGGAATTCCCCAAGAGTGGCTTCAGGCAGAGTATTCCCCGGGCACAGCCGCCCCAGTACCACGCACGCGCAGGGTGCCCTTTCCCCGCCCGTTTTCTGCTGCCCTATTTAACTTCACTCTTTTCACTGCTCTTTTCTCCGACCCTCCGACCCTCCCCTGAAGGAGGCCGGGCTCCATTTCAGGCCAGTTTCCTCCCCAGCCCTCCTCATCCTGTGCTCTGCAGCTGACCGCGAGCGCCCAGGTTACATTGTATCCAACCTGCACGTGACCGAATTGTCTGTGCTTCAGGCTAAGGTTACTTTGTATCCTATGTGCCCAGACGGCGTCTTCTGCGCCGGGAGAAAGGGAGGGGCCTGCGCGCGTAGCCTAGGTTACTTTGTATCCAAACTACCTCGGGCAGAGGTTATATTGTATCCAGCCTGCTTGGAATCATGTACCTCGGGAGGAGAGATCAGATAAAGATTAGTGTCATCTCGTCAACTGTGAAACTTACACGTCCATCCTCCACGGATCTGACGTGTCCCACTCTGGTCAAATGAACGGCGGTGTACCTGCTTTCTCTGGGCTGAGTAGCTAGCAAGGACCCTGAAAATTCTCACCATCGAGCCTGTCACAATTCCATAGACCTCAGGAGGAAACCAGGAGTATCTCCACCAGAGACACTGATGCTGGGCTCCGTGTAAATGGACACAATGTTTTTAGATGTAGCCAGCGAAGACTTTGGTTTGCTTGACATTACGCGTTAGTAACTTTTTTTTCCTGTTTGCTTTTTTTCTGTTTGCTTTCTCAATGGGCAAGAGAAGGGACGTGGGAGGGAGAGAATTTGAAAGTGAAAACAAAATTGAATTTTAAAAAGAAATGCTGCAGCTAGGTGGCGCAGTGGATAGAGCACTGGCCCTGGAGTCAGGGGAACTTGAGTTCAAATGTGCCTCAGACATTTGATACTTAGTAGCTGTGTGACCCTGGGCAAGTCACTTAACCCCGATTGCCGAGGAGTGGGGTGAGAGGAGAAATTCTGTCTATGGAAGAGTCGGGACACGACTGAACAAGAAGCTCCTAAGGAGCTCATCGTATAAAAATAACTCTGTACAAGTAAGAAATATAAAGATAAATACATGGGGAGTTGGATACGTATACACACACACACACACATATACATTTGTTGTTCAGTTGTGGCTGACTCTGTTACTCCGTTTGAGATTTTCTTGGCAAAGATACTGGAGAGGTCTGCCATTTCCTTCTCCAGCTCATCTTACAGATGAGCAAACTGAGGCAAACAGGGTTAAGTAACTTGTCCAGGGTCACATAGCTAGCATCTGACGCCAGATACCTCTATCCACTGTGCCACTTAGCTACCCTGATTTTCACATACACCAACACACACCATATAATACATACTTGTGATGATTTGAAGATAATCAACAGAGGAAAGGCATTTAGCCCAGAAAGGCTTCGTATAGAAAAATGGATTCTAGCTGGGACTTGAAGGAAGGCAGGAGACAGAGCAGAGGAGGAAGAGCATTCCAGGCATGGGGGTGGGGAGCAGCCAAAGAAAATGCCTGAGAAATGGAGGTTTTGTTTATGTAACATCCAGGAAGCTGGGGTCTCTGGATCCAAAAGAATTGGGGAATAAGGTATAAGGAGACTGGAAAGGTAGGAGTGAACACCAAAAAGGATTTTGAGTTCAATCCTAGAAGTGCTAGGGAGCCCCTGGAGACTATTGAAGGGGGAGAGGTGTGAATGTGTGTGTGGGGGGGTGGTGAGAACACAGTCAAACTTGCACTTAGCTTTCAGAAAACCACTTTAATGGCTGAGGGGAGGATGGACCGGAGTAGGGAGACATTTGAAGCCCAAAGACACCCCCCCCCCGCAACTGGCTTCTTCGACAGTCCAGGTATGAGGTGATGAGGACCTGCACCAGGGTAGAACCAGTGTTGGGGAGGGGGGCATATCCTAGAGATGTTATCAAGGTGGAAGTTACCTACCCGAACACTGATTTACATGTTGCAAGAGAGAGTGAAGAGCTGAGTGTGACACCCAGATTGTAGTTCCATGTTAGACCCTCAGAAATAATAGGGAAGTTAGAAAGTGGGGAGAAGGGCAGCTAGGCAGCACAGTGGATACAACACCAGCCCTGAAGTCAGGAGGACCTGAGACCGAACACGAGACTTACTAGCTGTATGACCCTGGGCAAGTCACTTAACCCCAATTGCCTTAAAAAAAAGGGGGGGTGGTGGAAGATGAGCTCACTTTTGGACATGCTGAGATGAAGACGTGTGCGGGATGTCTGCTTCAAGATATCCAGGAGGCAGCTGGAGATGTGAGATTGGAGGTCAGCACAGAGGCTGGGGCAGGACTGGGAGATGAAGAAACATCAGCACAAAGACAGTCATTCACTGGGTGCTCCTGAGGTCACCCAGTGAGGTAGCATAGAGAGGGAGAGGAAGCAAGGGCCCAGGACAGAGCCCTGAGGGATGCCCAAGAAGCAGCAGACTGTGACACGAATAACCAAAGGGGCCTGAGGAGGTGTGGTCAGACAGGCAGAACCAGGACAGGGCAGTGCTAGATAGCCTAGAGAATCCAGAAGATAGCGGGGGCCAGAAGAGGCCATTAGATTTGGCGATTAGGAGGTCAGCAGTAACTCTGGAGACAGCAGTTTGGGTGGAATGATAAGGCCTGAAGGCTGAAGAAAAGAAAGGCATTTTTGTAGATGCTTTTTTCTAAGAGTTTAGCCACAAAAGGCAGAAGAGACATAGGAAGATAGTTAAAGGGATGGAAGGATCTGAGAGGGTTTGATTAGCACGGGGGAGGAGCCAGCGGAGGGAGAGATGGAAGGTAAGTGAAAGTGTGGCTGACAGAGAGGGCGATCTGCTGGGACACCATGGAAGGGGATCACTTGTGCAGATTTTGGCTTTGGTAGGGAGTGAGGATGCTTCATCCTGAGACACAGGAGGTGATGGGAAAATGAGGAATAGGGGAGAAAGGGGAGCTCATGGTGAATGGCTTCAGCTGAGAGGGGGACAGGAGAGGGAGCCAGGGGAGGTTTGAGGAACCTCACTGGAGTGGGGTGGTGAGCTAATTAGAGAGGGGTAAAAGGATTGCCTGGAAGCAGCGAGGGCCCGCACGAAGTGGCCACAAATGTGTAGTGACAGAACAGCTGCATAATTTTCTCCATTGTCATTCAGCAGCGCAAGTGGACGAGCAAAGGTGACCTATGTCGGGAGTAAGGCTAAGGCTTGGCTGGGCATAGTCAGGAATATAATGATGGAGCCAGGGATTCGAGAAGAGATGGACTGGGGTCACCAAGGGGTCACGCTGAGCAGAAGACACAGAGGGGCCTGAGAGGGCTAACATTCTGGAGGTCACGGGTGACAGAGGAAACCAGCCAGCAGATTATGGTCTGACAGGGGAGGTGGCACATTTGTGGGTGAGGTAAGCTCCCAGGGATGACGTCTACCTGTGGCTGAGGCAGGGCAGAGAAGCCCCTGGTATGAGGATTCAGTTAGGCTTCTGGGACCCTCCATGTGAGGAAGTGATTACAACCACCATCTTCACTGTAGCCCTGAGTTGGCCCAGGAGCACACAGACCTCCTCTCCTCTTCCCCCTTTTCAGTTTACATTCATGTGCTGTCTTCCCCATTAGAATGGAAGTCCCTCAAAGGCAGGGGTTGTCTTGACCTGCATTTGTACTCCCAGGGCTTAGCACAGGGCAGACACGCTCAAGCAATGCTCTGTGTATTCAGAGACCTGCTGGGCAAAGAGCCCTGGGCTAGATGCAGTTATCATGCCCATTTTTATGGTGTGGACACTGAGGCTAACAGAGTTGATGTGACTTTTACAGGGGCCGAGGCAGGTTCCAGACTCAGCACTTCGTCACTCACAGTGCAACACTTTCCAAGCTGCCACCCCGCTATGGCTAACAAAGATGATTATTACACAGATGACCTTAGACCTAGGAGCATGAGCCACCCCGCCCCTACCACCCAGCCCTTCTGCTCCCTGCCCAGGACACTCGGCATGAAGCACCCTCTGCCAGGTTTGCACCCAGAGTTGTTGGAAGGCTCAAATGAGAGAAGGTGGCTAGACACTTTGCCAGCTATCACCGTCATCGCAGTGACCACCAGCACCAGCAGCTGCAGTCACTGGAAAAGGGCAGAGCCAGATCACAAGAGTTCTGTCAAGCTCCACGGCTCCTGGCAGGGAGCGGCCCCCAAGGCCTCTCTCTCCTCCCCTCCTCTCCCCACACCTGTACACAGCCGGCAGCATCTCCTTCCTAAAAATTTTACAAAAGTAAATTTATTGCATTTTTCATTGAAAAACTGCATATGGATAAAAACCTGAGCCAACCATGGCAGATTCCTGCCCACCAGCCAGCAATGAGCACGGCTCAAACCTCGGCTGCAGCTTCCAAAGCCAGCACGTGCCAGGCACTGAGCTCTGACCTGCCCTGTCCACCCCCCGGTCTAAGCTGCTAGCCGACCGTCGGCCCAGCTACCAGGCTCAGCTCTGGGCAGCCCGCATCTTCCTGCGGAAGTAGTCAGGGGCCGCATCATAGAGCCAGTCCGGATCTACCACGCAGAGGTCCCTCATGTAACACCTGTTGGTGGACAGCAGCTCGTTGTAGGTGACACAGGCTGGTTTGCAGTGGAACAGGACAGAGGACGGGTGGATGGACACTGGCTGGCGGGTGTCCACAGTGACGTAGGTCCCGTCGGGCTGAAGCTCGGCCGTGGTCATGAAAAGGCCGTGTGCCAGGCATCGGCGAATGTTCCCCGTGTCTGCCCGTGAAGACTCGATTGGCAGCGACATCTG